GATACTTGCTGAAACAAAACAGTACAACGCACCAAAAAAAAAAAAAAAAACAAAACAACTACACATAAACATGCATCCAACACACAAAGCACCGAACAACAAGTATAACATAGCAAAGCACAAAGGTAACACCCGACGCCCAACAATGACATAGCGCGACCGCTATTCTGAATACACGCACTGAAGTTGCGTCATAAGTAAACAGCAGCCAATCACAGCCATCGAATCCCAACCGGCGCGGCGACACGCCTCAGCCACCGACTACAAACCGCCACAAAAGTCAATTCCCACGGTAAGAACATGCCACAGACGACAACGAGCATGCAGTGAAAGACGGAGGTACGATAAAATGCTCAAACTATTCTAGTGGACGGACGACCCAAAATAAGCTCTTCGTAAAAGAAACCACGGAAATACACCGAAACCCCAGGACGAAAACACAGTATTATTGAAAACAGAGACTACAAATCCGATTTTGTAGTCATTTGGAAGTCTCCAATACAAGCGTACTTTAAAGCGGACATTGAACGGTGTACATCGTTCGGCACGCACCCAATTTTGCGGGTAAGGACTCATCCTTCTGAGGTCGACTGCCTTTTAGAGCTTTAAGCAGAGCTGTTTAGCGTGTGAAATATTCTTCGAGATGATCATGTTCCCACGGTTGGTTTCGTCTGAGTCGTGATTTTGGCAAGTGGGATTGCAGTGATATGTACTATGTATTCGTGTATGCGTGTTTATCTATAACTTTTATTTAACTGTCCCTCACCGCGTGTTGTGAACATTAAGGCCTGATGTTGGTTGAAGCTTTTGTAGGCGGTCAGATGACTTCTCAAGCGCGTCGAGGTTGGAATCGTCCTCGTTCACCCCCACACGTACTGCCTTGAATATACGATAACTTTCCTTTGAGAGTGTGAGTTGCATGCTCTAGACACCTGCATTACAGAGTCAGGACAGTTGTTCTCATTGAGGAAATCAGGTACGTACATGATATATCGTTTGGCAGGCTTCTACTTTGTCCGGCGTGTCAATCACTTTGGCAAAGAAAGCTACTGTCTTGCAGGGTCCGGAGAAGACGGGTCGTATGTGGAACACTGCCGATGAAAAGCTTCTCTTGGCACTCGCCGAGCCATCCTTCCTTGCCCTTGAACCTGTGGCTCTCCCGCTTCCCGCCGTATTATCTCCCAGCGGCTCACACTCTGCCTGCAGCTCATCCGTTTTCTCAGCTCACTGTCAATCTTATCACGTGGACTGCGGATGCTCGAAACGACCCGAATCTCCTTCTCGAGCTCGGAGAATACAAAGAGGCCGTCATGGTCGAAGACGCGAAAGATAGGCTGGGATCAAGGGACAATCTTCACGTGAGATACTAGGAGTTTCTCTTTCGCTCCGGGGTCGAGCAACATTGCGTCTTGCCTCCGCATACCTGAAGGTGAGCTCCGGCTGTCAAGCAACGAGCCCTTATGACATTTAGCGAAATCAAGCCGAGATGTGTGAAGGAAGGGTTGCATGTGAGACAAGTGCATGTCTCATTCTTTTTCACCTTGTCGACCACCGGCTTGCGAGCAACGTCGTCCAACTCCGATCGAGGTTAGAAATTCAGGAGCACCCGCTTCACGCAGTGCAGAGAAGACGCCGCAGCTCATGTGTAGGCTTGCGGCGAAGCCACTGAAAGTCCACTCAATGTAGTACTCAGCATGGCTCCCAAACATATAAGAGTAGATAGGCTTCGTGAAATAGTAGACGTCCACACCATGCGCCTTTCCGTCCGTTCAGTCAACTTCCCTGTCGGCTCGCCCTGTACGGCCTTCGCTCTCGGACTCTCTTCGAACTGCTTGGCGATGAAGAAGGTCACAGTAATGCGGGGGTGATGACTATGGTGCCGGATTGATGGGGTTCATGGATGGGATGGGGGAAACACAGAGAGGAGGTAGGCGTAAGGAGATGAACAAATGGCACGGGCAAAAAGTTGAAGATCTTCGCTAGAGTACGAGATATCGAGGAAGCCAATACGGCTACGTGTTCTTTGCCATTAAGCAGAGCAGCGGTCCGGGGCTGCACACGTCCGTTGAATGCTTCGGTGCAGACCGAACATGAAAGATCCTGACCACGGATGTCGTGCTGAAGCTGACGTGCCATACAGGGTGAAAATAAAACGAGTGTGTGCGCTTACAGGATAATGTCAAGCAGCACATCTAAACATATCGCACACAAGATTAGTGACAACAGTCATTATCTGGCTCGACGGGCACGGGGAGGCAGAAGTGAGATGTCGTGCTTGGGTCGTGACTCTCTACTCCTCGCACAGGCCGACTCGGGACATGCGGATGAAGGGGCAATGCCCAAGTCGGAGGAAGGGGGAGAGCGCGAGGGGGCCGACGATTACGTTGTTACATCGCTCGCGTCGCTACCCTCTTTCAGGCTCGTCAAGAAATCATGGGGGACAGGCGGGACCGGTGAGGAATACCGACAGGAGTGGTACCAGTAGGCAAATTTACCTGAGAGGGTTGACATCCATCATTTCGCACTCGTGGGAGCAGTAGAGGCACGGGCAACTGGTCAATGACATGCCGCGCTTGACCGAGGTGGCCGGCGAGTAGGATCCGGAGGTTGGGCATAATGCAGATCTTGGCCTCCTGGTAATGCTGTCGCTGCGCTCGACTTCCCCGTTGGGCTTCACTGTCCCGAGCCGTGGCCAAGACTACGCAGGTGCGCATCGCAGCTGGTTTGCGCTAGTGCTGGCACATCGTCGCATCCGATGAGGTGTTTGGTCCAGGCTTGGGGGAGTGAAGGTAATCGTGGAACAGGGACATAGTAGCGTTTAGGGATGACCTGTGGTTGCAGACGGGATACCAGGCAGCATCAAGGACGCCCTCCGTTTTAAGAGTAGCGTCTGTGGACAGTGCCGAGCTACAAGCGACAGAAACGCCAAAGTTGGCACATGACATTTGCGGTCTAAGGCCCTAAACGTGTTCCAACACGCCCGAACTGTCTCACTTACTCTGCAGTATTCGCCTCCGGTGCTGCGCGCACACTGCAGCAAGATGGAGACGTTAACCCGGGTAGCGCGCAATAGGTTCTGAAACACTTCGTGCCGCGAAATGTTGACTTACGAAACATCGGCGTCTCCATGAGAAGATCATCATGACAGCGTGCGTGACGAACATATCGAGGCACAGTGCCCGGTGTGCCGGCAATGAGTTGTGACTACAGTAAGAGAAGTTAGCTCGAAACAATGGCCCCAACAGGACTGCGGTGACGGACTCTGGCAATGAGCTAGCCGCATGGACGGATTAAGACAGCTAGAATCTGGATGAACCGCTGAGCAATGCACGGCGCAGCACGGGGACTTAGTCTTACCATACGGTGAGGCTGGATCCTCATTACTGCACTTTGGTGCAATATTCATAGCCTGACAAGGCACGTACACTGCATTCAAGTTGAGAGGAAGGATATGGAGGTTATTCTGTGACAGACTCAAAAGCATCGACGCCTCCTGCGCATAGTGACTCCCTTAGCAATGGCGCGATAAGTCGTATGGATGACTAGCACTCGACGAATAGAGTTTGCTTCTACGTCACCCTTGAGAAAGATCCTCTTGACCTTGCACCCGGGGTGAAGGCTCTTCACAGTTGCACCAAGGTTATTGAGCATCCGCCCAGCGCAACGAAGGTTCCTTTATGAGGATGACGGAACTTCTTGCTTGTCGTATCGTCAAGAACACCCTCAGTATCGTTGATAAGACGATGAGCGAGCTATAAAACACTTGCAGGAGGCGAAGAGAAGAATATCGGCGCAAGACGAGTCCATCTTGTGGCTCTCCCATGGGCGAACGGTCTCTTCGTGAACGATTCCGGTGCACAGCAGTTCGGGCTGGCTGAGCATAAAGGATCCGTATCAAATTGATCGTCTACAGCAGTACTCCTCTCCAGCGAGCGCTAATCCAAGATGACACAAATGGGACCTGGGGCCTGCTCTCCGGATGGTTGAGTATGTCGGCCCAACCACCCAAATCTTGATCCATATATCTTCAGAAATAATACGCGCCGGCGACACCTGAGACAAGACGGGCATGCGCTCCTCTATCAGCTTCTCCACATCTTTCTCTGCTACGCTGAGATGCTCTTCCGTAGGTGGCGAAGCTTGCTCCCGCATACGAATTGTTCCAATGCTGGCAAGGCGAGGAATTGGATTGGTACCTCGAGATCGATCTGCACGTGGAAACGCGCGTATACGTTGGCGGAAGGACTGCAACATGCGATCAACCGACGTCTGGGCATCTGGGATAGTCCTGACCGTTGACCATTCGTCAGCTTCTTATACCGCATAAGCTCCGAAGTCGGATGCCTTCTCCCACAAGACACCTCCCGTACCGGAAGCATGTAAAGAGCATGTGCTATAGGATGTCATTAACACCATCCCGAGCAGCGATGGCATCCGCCCCACAGTTATTGCCGTCATGATGCTGAGACAGATTATGAGTGAGGTGGTATTGTCCTCGGTCGGTACCAGCATGCAAGCCACGGTCCAGGGCTTTTGGAACATCATGCTGATGTGCGGGACGCTGCAATCGAGATCCTCTGAAAGTGTGGTGTCGATTTTCTATGTTCGCCTCCTCCCGCATCGTCGAGTACTCCGACCACACGCGGGTTGAGTCAAAATACCGGTACAGGTTCGGGATCAGCTGATCTTTCTGCCACAGACCCGCCTTGAAGTCAGTGAAGCCCACCTCGGTCTGCCAGGATCAGAGGAATAAGAACGCAATGTATGGACCCGAACTGCCCTGAATGCTGAGCGTGTAGAATACGACCGGCAAGGAACGAGATGGCATCTTGCTGTTCAAACGGATCTTGACTAGTTTCCGCATATTCTCCACAGCTTGTACTCAGCGACTCATTCGTACGCACGGATGACTGCCTCGCGATAGGAGGTCATCCGACCGATCAACGCAATTTTCCACTTATTCCCAATTCTGGAAAATGTTGTTGAGCCTAAGCTCATCAGGACCGCTCGCTTGACTGCTGAACACCTTCACCGGCACCTGCAAAAAACGCCCAAAGTGTCTCCTTTCTCATCTCCTCATTGGTTAAATATCAATTCGGTGAGAACTGTTCTCCGCCCATTGTCTAGGGCTTTGGCAAGGTCCCCACTCGAGCTCGCATACGGAGAAGGGGAGAAGAGGGTTTCCACTGGAGTAGACACGAGTATCGCCCCGTTAGATGGTCGTGAGCGATCGCGGCAAGCTGTTCGTTGGTATACGGTGTGACCCAGGTCCACTCAGTGCTTGCTGAACCAGTGTAACAGTCGCGCGACGAGCAACAATAATTGCTGTATCCGATAACACTGTCGTTCGTGCGGTCCTGGTTGACGTTGACGAGGTCACCAGCTCCGTCGGCTCTAGATCGTAGTATGATACAGACTGTCGACGTATCACTATCAGAGTTGGATGAGGTGGTTGGTCCTCGTGGACGAATCGCGATACTGTAAGAAGCTGTCGGGCGTCTGTGGCGATCCAGTCATCTCACCAGCAAGCGGGAAGTCCAAGATGAGGTCGCAGATCTGGAAGCGGAGACCGAGAAATACAGGCCACGGATGAGGCCGTGGAAATTCGTATAGGCCATGTCCTTTTGTGAATGAGCATTAAGGATAACCGAATGCATGATCACCAGAAGGCAGAACAGACCTGTACTGTTCTTGAACCTGATATATTCCGCCACGTCGGGGTCAGAGATCAGCCGTAGTACACGGTTGACCAGCATTGAGTTGACCTTCTCATACAGTTAGACGAAACGGTCTTCGCCATGACACGCATTCACCCCAGTTTGTTCCCGAATGTCAGTCCTGTTATTGATACCCGGACACTGTATTTAGAGTCAGCAGGCTCGAGGAAATCTGGGAAAACCGTCCTCGAACGCACGGTGGGTAAATTACTGGACCTGAAAGAGGCACTCGTGGGGGTTTGCCATAGGCTTGCTCGATGAGAGCCAACTTCTGGCACCGCAACTACTTTAAGCGCCCTTCGCGGAGTACGCCTCCTTCTGCATCTCTAGTGGAAAGACAAGAGGCTTGATGTCGTGCTTGTACGACGTGGAGAAATGGGTTAGCGCTGATATAAGACTGGATGAGGTAACGAGCATCTTCAGCTGCGGATCAGAATGGGAGATCCAGCCAATCGATGCATCACAAAAAGGTTTCTGGGCATCGTCCAGCCATCTTGCTAACACGCTGAAGTCTTAAAACGACGAGGGTACCGAGCGCGAGGCCATACCAAGACTGAGAAATTGCAAACCACAAATGAGGCGTCAGGTGTTCGCATAGGCCATGTGAAGCCTGAAAGGAGCATTTAGTATAGGGTATGATGCGGTACTGCAGGGAACATACCTATACTTGTTGTTTCTCCTGGATTTGAACAACGCCCATCACGTTGCGGTCCAGATTCAACGATAGTGGACGGTCGAGTAGCATCAAGTCGTTCATCTCATATATTTTTGACAGAATGATCTCAATCATACCCATACACTCGCCCGCACTCGTTTCCTAAGATGCCAATCAAGTTGTTGATACCCTGATGCCACCTGCACACGAGGAGTGCGGCCCGTTCCATATCGGCGGGCTTGATCTAAGTTGGTAGAGACCGTGCTTGTCCTGCCGGAAAGACAACAAATACTCCACGTAAGCGTCGATGATATTCTCCCGATGAACTCAGTGTGGTTACGGGCAGAGATGTTGTCGTATGGATTCAGGCTCTCCATTCCAGCGACCTTAAGGCGCGCTGCGTAGGGGCAAGCCACTTGATCCGAGAGGCCCTCGTGCTGGTTGTGATAGGCCCGTCGATGAGCCTTGGTTTGTGCCATCCAGAACGCCCCCCTACAGCGAAATCTGAAGTCAAGGATATCCACTTCATCACCCGACTCTACCACGCGTCGGCGGCGAGATGTGCAACTCTTCTTAACCAACTAGTGGGACAACGCTGAGGGGGGAATGTAGACCAACGCGAGTGCAACAGATGAGATGCTGTATGCGTAGAAGCCACTCGGAATATGGAATAGAAGGAGTTCTAATTCAGTACGTACCAATCAACAGGAGAGTAGATCGGATGGCAGGCCCGCCTGACAGTGTACCACCGCAGTCACACCCCGTTCGCAAGTTCGCCGAGCCCGACTTTGTCGATGGCCCAATGAAACAACCGCTAGGCCTGCCACAGCTGGTGTTTCAACGCAGTCTCACTTGATGAGGATGAGCGTCCACTGGTTAACGTATCTTGCAGCCCCATAACTGGCCATGCCAGAGTGAACCTTCGTAGCCGAGGAGCCATACTCAGAAGGACTCACCGGCTCCTCTTGCTGTCATCGGGTCTCTTCTTCTCCTTCTGCCTTTTCTCATTTTTATTCCGCTGGCCTCCATAGAGGCTTCACCCAATTGGAAACCGTATCGACAACCAAGGGTCTGCTGCACTAGATCGACGTCACTACCACATGATTTCTTGGGAATATTAACAACTAACCTTTCTTCCAGACGTCTTCCGACGATGTCGGCTTGCCCGGCAGAGTCATTGTCTCTTTCGCACGGCTGTCGGTACAAGTCTTTGCAAAGATTTTGCAGTAACGGGCGAAGATACGGTCTGCGAGCGCTTTCACTGCAACATCTGATTCTTCTCCCTGATGTCTGCAGTCAAACTCGCCCAAATCTGACCGCAATGTAATCGCTCTTAGTTATGCCTTTGCTCATGGCAAAGGAGCCCACACGGGACATTTGCTGTGAGCGTTCATCCGACAAGGGGAAGATGGTCTTCCGGCACGTAGCTATCTGCTCGTAGGCTATAGTTTGTTTGCCTGAGCAGGACCGTCAGACTTCCTCGCCAGTTGCTGCAGCCGGCCTCGTATTTATCTCAGCGTACTGCTCGAACCTTGATCTGCGGTCGCTCCCCGTTCAATGAGTCCTCCGTGCCCTCGACTATAGTCATAATATTGAATACTCACCTGTCCATACGGTATGATCGTTGGCGAGGTTCAATCCAAAGCGCTTGGAACTTGACGTGCACTCGTTCCTGTTGATGTTTCCTCTGTTACTAATGCGGAACCGGATTGCCTGAGCAACACCAGGGTCGGCGTTATAATTTTGAAAGCTGTGTCCATTTTGAGCTTGCATGCTCAGTCATTCATCTGCGGTAGCCTAGTAAGCGTTCTCGAAACAAACACACACACTCACACACAACCGTGAGCTCACCTTGTTATCAGCAGTGTTCATGAGAATCTCATTGGTGTCTGCCTACTCTCTGAACCCTACATCCGCAGGGGCTGGGAGACGAATTTCAGCACCACGGATGTATGAGTTCGATCGCCGTAAGTTATATTCTAGATGCGGCGATCGCGATACTCCAATGAGCGAGAGCGGCGACACCGTATGCCTGCGACATCCAGTAGGAACCATAGCTCGACTGGCACCGAGCGCAGTTGATACTTGAAGTATACGCCCGACTGTGGACGGGCTCGTCAAAGGGAACCTGAGGGCCGAACAAATCCGACCTCGTCCCGGTCACCAGACACTGCTACAGGGACATTCTCACTGTTGGCTTGTGGCAGGTAGCTGGTGACAGCCCGGCTGGATACAGCGCGAACAGAACTGCACCGAACACGTAGGGTCTCGAACCGTAATCCTTATCAGTGGCACTGGTAGCCCAGGCATATCCAGATTACTGATGGACTGGGGGACGTTCATCATAACGTCGCGAAGCATTCACTGTGCCTTATCAGAGAGAAAGAGGCTCTTCACCATGACGTCTGGCAAGTCACCGAAGAGCTCCTCCGCCCTTCCGAGACAATAAGAATAGCCTGAAACCCGAGTCTCAAGATGCTCAACGGCATACTACAGGATCTGGCTGAGTGACGTGGCTGCCGACGCCGGCGGAGGATGTCGGACTGAACAGAGGGCATTCGCAACCGGCGGTCCTCAACAGGGCCACCCACTAGACCTCGTGGATGTGCTTGTTGAAACTCGCCACCTTGTCCATGCTGGGCATATCTATATCGTGCTCAACAGTATTCCTCGTTATTGGACACAACGGCGAGAACGTACTGTGATCAAGTAAAGGCTCCGCGCCTGTAAGTCATGTCTGAGGCAACCGAGGTGACTTGATGCAGACCCTTTTGCGCTTTTGGTCCTTGCGAATAATCTGTGTACTGGAATATCCTCATCTTTCCAGGGCGGCAGCGACATTCTACATGTGTCTCCTTCATACAGACCATCGCGGACTCGGATAGACTGGATTGACGGACGGCCAACGCGACACCCCCGGAGTGAACATGACCACTCAGCACGCTCATATAACGCATGAACAAGCAAGCACCCCTTGTTCGCGATGGCGTCAGCTCGATCTCCTGATAGATGTGGACGAACTTGGTGGGGAGAACCTGATGGAACAAAGAAACGTCCACAGTCGTCGAGGCGGCTTTCGTAACACCGGCAGCTCCAAGGTAGCGCGAACAAATTGAAAATAGATACCTGGGGGTAATGATGAGTAGATGGTAAGACTGTATACACTTATCCTCTTACCCGACTTTTGTGAGCGCTTTCCTGGGCGTGTACGCTGCGGCGAGCCGTCGGGTTGTTGTAGTTACCGATGATGGTCTTGTTACTCATGTACCATGGCTGTCATGCATAAGTGATGGCGCCCCAGTCGAACTCGACACTGCTCGTGATCCGGTCACGTCGTTACCAGCACCATTGTCCCATGCTCGACGAACTCGGTGTAATCCTCGGAGGCACTGTACGTGCCGTAGAGGTAGTCAGTGTGTACGTGGTACTCGACAGCAGTAGTGTCGATCCGCTTGAGGAGTACGTGATTTCGAGGGACTTGCAGTGTGCGAACATGACATTTTCGGAGGAAACCAAGTCAGGGTTGTGAAACCTGATAATCATGACTCGGCGGGCTGTATCTGCCAAGTTCGCGCTCGAGCGTGGTGTCTTGAGACCGTGAACTGCTTTAGGGATGTGGCCGATTTCGCACAAGAACACTACAATACATGCGAGTCAGCATGGTCATCAACGAAGCCGCGAACGCTACCTCGATACCTTGAGGTCTTGCCAATCTTGATCAGGTGTTGTAGTGCCCGTGGATCATACTATACGCCATCACATGCAGCCACGTATCCGACTTGCCAAGTACGCCATCACGGTCTTCTGGCTTGACACGTCAAAGCCCTTGCACCACAGTCGATCCGACAAACTGCATCGTGCACACGCTCCCTTTGACCTCTATCTAAAGACCATAACCT